AATTGTATAGAGGTTTGCAAGTATTAATTAGTGTGTATACATATATTAAATGATTAATTGTATAGTACTAGAACACTATATATATTACTATACTTATATATCAAGTAAAAAGAAGTACAACGAATGCTAAAAAGAATTTTAAATTGTCTCCAAGCTAAGTATCGTGTCTTATATGTACAAGTATTACATCTTCTCCATAATATATATATACTTCACAAATGAAGAGGTACAATGCATGTAGAATGTGAACACAAGACATGATACATGAAATTTTTTAAAATTCTAGTGTACAGTCTATTAGTGTCGTGTTTATATTTACAAAGTATTATATATACCTTTACCCCTATATCCTATAGCAAAATGAAATGTACTATGTGTAAGCACAATATATACACGATATTTGAAGGTGCCTTAGAAATTCATTGAATAGTGTAAAATACTTAAACTAAAATGGAGTCACTTTTGGTGGCTTTAATTTTGACCTATTATATTTTACTAAAAATGTTAAGCCATGAAATATTGATGTACTTAGTTTGTTGGGAAGACGTTAGTAATATAATAGTACCATAAATAAACACATTTGGTTTCATGAAAACGGTTATTTTCATATCTTTAGAATACCAATATTTACGTTGTTTAGTCTAATACTAGATACCGACTCTCTATATTAAATGCAGTGTTTCTTTTTTGTCTTTTCAATAAATCATTCCACAACTCTTCTTCTCCCAAAAGGTCGGATCCCTAACCCCGGCCCAGTAGAGCATTTGGAGATGTAAATCACGGTGACTTAATGGCTCAGTAGACAGGGTCAAATACCGGTGTACACAAGGAAATAAAGGATCTACCCACTTTGAGCATAATTGGCAATTTATATCGTCAACCAGGTCCAATACACATAATTTGACTTCATAATGTACACAATTCATATTTATAATGTACAGAATTTATGTTCATAATACACATACACATAAACACGATATAATGAACACACATAAACACTTAACATAATACACAGAATTCATATTCATTTTATCATGTTTATGTGTATGCGTATTATGAACATAAATTCTGTGCATTATGAAGTCAAATTATGTGTATGGGACCAGAGTCCACAACACATTGTGGACTCTGGTCCACGATATAACGCTCCGGCATAATTCCCATACTGCTGTTGCTGAGGTTCGAACCTTGATCTCTTGTCTCAAATACTGCCTACTAAATCAGTAAGCTAAATCCGTGCGGGCATACAACCACAACTCTAACTAAATTAGATTATCACTTTCATTTCTCGCATATAGTTATGTTTGGCAAACCTAACTGAAAGCTGAAAAACTATAAGATAAAAGCTGAAAACGAAAGAGCTGTTAACTAGCTGATTATGCTTAAAAGTGTTTACTAAAATTAACTTTTTGATAAAGACTAATAATGACATGTTCTTCTTTCAATAGCTCAAGACTCGAATTCATTAATTGGTTCATACATTTATTATCTTCCTAACCGTACGTTGGACACTTCACAATCAGCCATTTAGTCCTCACCAAGTGTAACATTTTGCATTGTGCTAAAAGCGACGAGTCAGCAACACCTATTGTAGAATTCGACAGTGGAGACTTAGGCTTTTAAGGCAATTTATATCATGCACTATGATCCACGTAACATTATGGATCCTGAATTGAAACAATGAAGTACATATTTCATACTCGTAAGATATAGAATTTCATAACACAAGACATAAAAAATCACAATACAACACATAGCATAGCATTATGGACCCAGTTGGATTGAAAAGACGAGGTGTAAAATTCATACTCGTAAAGTACAAAATTTCATAACACAAAACACAAGGCACATACGCATGTTATATATTTACTTATATTTCAAATCTATTTTAAGTACATAATTTGTGTTCATAAACACAGAATTTCATAACATAAGACACAAAAATTCATAACATAACACAATTATTAATTTGTTCCAGATATAGAATTCATACTCTTAAGGTACAGAATTTCATAACGCAATACATAAAAGTCACGACATAAAATACTTACACATAAACAAGGATTCATAATTCAGTGTGAACCCTGATCTATGGTATACGGATTGGGCTTTTAAGTTCCCTTCACAAAAGACTCCAAAATTTAGTAGAAAAGCTATTTGTGATACTCACATTGGCCATTAATCAATAGTTATGCTATGCAACCGAATGCACCATGCGCATGGTGCATACGATGCAAAACGACGTCGTTTTGACTAAAAATGCGCGTCTCACTTAAAAAAATAAATAAATTCAGGTTCGATTCTCGGCAATAGCATTATTGTGGATATATAGTTATGAATTTCTGGATATATAGTTATGAATTTATGGATATTTAGTTCATTCATTGTAGATATTTACTTCATTCATTCACTATGGATATATAGTTATGAATTTCTGGATATATAGTTATGAATTTATGGATATTTAGTTCATTCATTCTGGATATTTACAGGGCGTTTGGTTGGAAGGAAGGAATTAAGGGGGAAATGAATTGTAATTCGGTGGGAAAAGAATAAGGTGAGAATAAAGTAAGAATTACAATTACATTGTTTGGTAGGGAGGAATAATGAAAATGGGAGAAGTGATATAAAGACTAAAATATCCTTTGTGTAATAATTTTAATAATAACATTCAAGAACAAATATGTCTTTTCCTTCCCTTTCCCTTTGGATGAATTCATTGAATTGCAATTCATAGGGGGGACCTATGAATTGCAATTCAATGAATTGGGGGAATTGCAATTCCCTCCAACCAAACAATGTAGTTTATCATTTCATTGAATTGCAATTCAATTCCAACGCAATTCATGCCAACCAAACACTCCCTTAGTTCAATCATTGTGGATATTTAGTTCATTCATTGTGGATATTTAGTTCATTCATTCACTATGGATATATAGTTATGAATTTATGGATATATAATTATGAATTTATAGATATATAAAAATGCTATTGCCGGGAATCGAACCTGATTTTTTTTTTTTAAGTGGGACGTGCGTTTTTTAACCAAAACGACATCGTTTTGCATCGTATGCACCATGCGCATGGTGTATTCGGTTGCACAACATAATTTGCGGGCCATTAATCCCATGGGCCTATTTGCCTTCATTATCTATGAATTTCTCTATCAATCAACTCAATAATTAAATACTCTTTCCAGTCCATTTTGTTTGTCTGTTAATGAAGCTTGAAGTTATTTTTAATTTAATTTTTTATAATATTAAATTTAAGGATGGTCATGCTGATGATTACATATTACTATATTAGAGTCTGATTATTTGAATTTTGTTAATGCTTTCAGAACTGCAAGTCAGAATTTTTCTTATGTTGGTCTTGTAATTCAGCAATGTCGTGAAATTGCTATGGGCATTGGTAATGTTGTGGTTTGCCATGTCAATAGGTCAGCGAATCACGCCGCTCATGTTCTAGCACGGGCTGCTGGTTCTTCCTCTGTCCTTGGTTCTTGGAGTTCAACTCCGCCAGTTTGCATTACGAATCTAATATAAAGCTTGCATCGTTGGTTTTCAAAAAAAGTTTAATATTAGTATATAAAATTTATATATTTAGAAACTACATTAAAAGTACTATTAAACAAAAAAAAAAATTAAATTTAAAAATAATTAAAATTAAAATTACTAAAATAAACAATGAAGAAAGAGTTTGTTTGACCAATAAATAGCAAACATGACAGACAAAATGAGATTATGAGGGTAGTATGTTAATCTAGAATAATCGTAATATCAAATCATTTTCGATTTCTAAAGCTCTAACAGCACGTTTGGTTCACGAAATGAATTTTGAGGTAATAGGAATGCTATTCCATAAGGAATAGAATAGGCAAGGAATAGAATAGAAATTGTATTCCATTGTTTGGTTCGCGGAAGGAATACACTTTAGGAATTATATTACAGTGTTTGGTTGATTTAAGGAATAGAAATGAAATATGTTTTAAAAGACATAAATACCCTTATAAAAATATGTGATGGTGGCGATGGTGGTGGTGGTAGCGGTGGTGGCGGTGGTGGCGATGGTGGTGGTGGTGCTAGGGTGGTAGTGGTGGTGGTGGCAGTGGCGGGGGCGACGGTGGTGGTGGTGACGGTGACGGTTGTGGCCAAGTAATAGAAATGGTTACCAAACAAAGGAATAGGCCTATTACTAGGAATGCTATACCATTCCCGGCCTATTCCGTGAACCAAACGGGCCATAAGTGTGTATGGGGGAGTTATCTGCCAATTCAAACATCCCTTTAAATTGAGTTTATTACCTAAACAAGTTAATTAATGTTTGATTTAACAAAAGGTGATCAAGATTTTTAAATTTTCTAAGAAATTTAGCCACCTCTCAATAAGCTCATTTCTTCTTCTTCAAAGCATTTTTCTTGAAATAATGCTTATAGCATCTAAAAGTTATGATTATGAAATATTGATTAATTAACTTTTTGTAACAGTTTATTGTTCCAAAATACTAAAATTCAAAAACCTACTCAAAACAAAAGTCATTTTGCATGTAATCAGCTATCAACTAACAGCTAATTTACCAAACATCTTTCTACAATCAGTTAATGTTATCAACTAGTCGAACCCACTAACCCAATCAGTTAACATCTATTTACCAAACACCCCTATATTTAGTAATGTTACAAGGTTAGAGTTTGAACCATAGACTTAAAAGGGCAGTTGAATCACATGAGATTGATGGCATATGGCTATGAATGACTCTCAACCACCACCCCACTTCAGCCCCCTTGAGAGAAGATCATCAATACAGAGAGAGAGAGAGATCATTTTTATGGATGTTCATCATTCATCTTCAAATATATTCATTTCTTATATTGCTGAAAAATAAAATTTTCCAAGAGTTCCACAAAGATTCTTATCATACTCACTCAATAATGTTGGATCATGTACATTTACACTGAACCACTTCACAAATTCTGCAAGGGGGGGGGGGGGGGGGGTGTTGATGAAGGCAACTATATAATAATGTGAATAATATATGAGTTTGTAAACAAGAGATTTAACTTTCATCTACACTCTTTTGTCTCTAAAAGCTGACAATCAGTTGAAAACAAGAAGGAAAGATTAAAAAAAAAAAAAAAAAAAAAGGAGAGCATTTTTAAGCCCCCTCAAAAAAAAAAAAAAAAAAAAAAAACCCACATATGAAATAAGAATGAGTGCTAATCATGTGTATATATATATAAGTATATATATAATATGAGTCCTGCATGGAAGTTGAGAATGATGGTTATCAGTTAAGCCCTCTAAATCAAAATTTATGGAGAATGGAGTAATAGTACAAGTTAGTACCTACTTTGATCTACCCTTGCTTCTCAATCATCCAATCGACGAAATTGTCTAGGATCAACGGCCAAGCAAGCTCCGGATCATAATTGCTAAAGTCGGGGAAGCTTATCTGTTCAAATCAAAGAATTCCCGTTATCTTAACTGTTATGATCAATCGAGACCAAAGCACAGTTGCAAGGATAAAGAAGCCAAGAATTTAGAGAATCACATTAGGCGATAAAACATTATAGGAAACAATACCTCGCTACAAAATCTATAAAATCCCATCCATTGATCCATATTGATGACCTTGTAATCGCTCTGCGTCTGACATCAACCACCATTACCCAATATACATTCGTTAGTAACTTGCACGTGAATTATTATACCGATTGGGCATAGAATATCTCTATCTCTAAAGCCCTGTTTGGTAACATTGTTAGCTTATCGGCCAACTTTGGCTTATTTGACCACTATTAGCTCTTTGACTTGGTTAAATAGCCAATATAAGTGTTTGATTAATTAGCTTTTTGTAATAGTTTATTGTTCCAAAACACTAAAATTCAAAAAGCTGCTCAAAATAGCTTTTTCGATAAGCTTTTTGAGAAAGTCATTTTGAATGTAATCAGTAATCAGTAATCAACTATTAGCTAACAGCTAATTTACCAAACATCTTCTACAATCAACTAATGCTATCAACAAGTCAAACCCACTAACCCAATCAGCTAACAGATATTTACCAAACACCCCCTTAGTGTCCGTCCCAAAATGAACATCCAGAATTACTGATACAAACCTTAGCACTGTGACTCGATTTAAAACACTTTCGTCTAAAATGCATATAAATGAAAACCCTTCCCACAGCGAGAATAACTTACTTTTAAATACTGAACCAGTGCTTCGACTTGAGGCCGAAATTGAGAGCCCAAAACAAGATCCAGCAGTACGCAGATACTCTCAATGTCTATGCTCTTCTGTTTCTCCTCTAGAAAGGGAACGGGAAGAACCAATTCATCACATATGATTAAGGGGAAACGCGAAATGAATTGAGAACAACAAAGGTATGTAGGTAACAGCGAGTATCAAAGACAATATGATCATCATGATCGATTCTTGATTTCTATCATTCTATCAAGCTGATAGTATCCTTTTCATTTCTATCATTCTATTATCCAAGATTAATAGCTTTTTGTGCTGTCTAACAGACAAAAGTTCATAATAATGATCTATTCTGGAACAACTTGGGCATGGAATATACAGAGTACATTATCAACAAAAGTTGATTAATTAGCTTTTTGTAACAACTTATTGCTCCAAAATGCTAAAATTCAAAAAGCTGCTCAAAGTAACCTTTTTTTATTAGCTCTTTGAGAAAGTCATTTTGTATCTAATCAGCTAACAGCTAATTTAGCAAACACTTTTCTACAATCAGCTAATGTTATCAACTAGTCAAACCCACTAACCCAATCCGCTAACAGCCATTTACCAAACACTCCCAATCTATAGAATCAAAGCATTTGTATAATTGTATGAAGAAACACCATACCGGTTAAGCAATACCGAAATGCATATGCATAGAAATCTACGAAGTTTGATGGCCTTCTGACCTTGAAGAGGGGTAAACGGAAAGAAAAACAAATTAGGATGAAAGAATTACATTCCCCTTCACTGCATAGCATGAAATGAAAGTATAACATGGCTTAAAACAAGCAGAAACAAGACACATGGAACTTAGTACCTCCTTCTCCAGTTCGGGAAGAGCTTTCTTCAACTTCTGGAATGTGTCAGCTCTCAGTGCTTTAAGTCCTTTTCGCCACTCCTCCTAATGTAAGAAAAACTGATACATCACTTTGGATAGAGACAGGAAAAAATAATAATAATAAAAGGAGACGACAATTACAGACAAATGTTATAAATTAAGATTGGGCTAGGGTCACTCAATTAGGCTATATTGCACATAGGCCAAACTATACTAAAAGATTGAATCCAACCAATTAGCTAGTCTAACCTATGGCCTTATAAGCCCATATGTTCTGTCTTATTTTATCAATGTCAGACTCGCAACAACAAAGATAGTATCAAAATTGTAATTTCACAAGGACTACAGAACAGACTGGAAGAAAAAAAAAGTTCTACTACATGGACTCCCAAATCTTAATCCCTAAATTTTACTCCCTGATGTGGCGGGCTGATAAGCTACTTTTTTCATGTGGGTCCCAATACAAATGTCTACATCAAGGTTTTGTGTGTGGGAGTAAAAGTTAGGAGTAGAAAATGACAGTACTCATAGTATTTTCCCAGAAAAAAAATTGGGCAAATGATATGACAATAATGATAGCAGACAATAGCCAATTCGTGCTTACCAGGGTAAAGTATCCTTGTTTTTCCGATTGCAATTTCCTACAATCCAAGGCATCGTCATTAAACTAAGAACACGTATAAACTTATGAAAGAAAATTTTATAGAGTGAAACATACCAAGCCAGCATTAATATGCGAACATCAGTATGTTCCACTTCCAAGTCCGAACAGAGAGCCTCAATTCCTTCAGGGCTATTCAAGATTTCGAGGATAACAATCGCACATCAAATGTTCATAACGAAAAACAAAGCAAGTTAGTGAAATAACATAAAGACCCCATATTTAATGGAATAGTTAGCATTACGTTGTTTTGTACTCTAAAGTGATATTCAATTTTTTTCAAAAGTTCTTACTTTAAGCTGAACTTCCTTCGAGAATAAGCACGTATGCTATTGGTTTAAAAAGTGAAAGTTTGAACTCTAATTACCTCTCTGACTCATGAGACAAGTTTATAGTACTGAATTAAGTGTTCGCTCAGTTAGATGTACAAAACAAAAAGGAAGTGTCGGAATACTTACTCGATTAAACCAGATGACTTATTCGCATAGGTATAAAAAACTTGATCGATTCGGTCTAACTCTTTACTTGCTGCTTTACCTGAAGCTGAATGCATATAATTGATGTGAGGGAGGTAAGCCTAACGAAGAGCGAATTTAACATCATCTACACAAACCATATTCTGGAGGATATGTCCAAATGTTTAACGTTTTTTATGGAAGCTAGCAATATATTATATTTAAACCACAAACCAAACAAGTTGAGACAAATGTTTCGATAATAGCAGATTATCAATTTTTCTAACACCAAAAACCCAGGTTGTCCCAGACTGCTTATTGAATTGTTCAAGCAAGGAACTGCGATTTATTCCATTTGTTTGTCAATCTGTGCGATTTATAGGATAGTTCTTGTTTATCAAAGAAACTCGGTAAACAATTAAATTTTTTAAAAGCATCAAACTCATAATTCAAGTACAGACTAAACTTCTTTTTCATTTCCTTTTACCAAATCGTTCTTCAAAGACAATCAAAGCAGACTTCTTAGCCAGGAATTTCTAAATTACACTACACTAAAAATTTAGCAATCAACAACTCCTAATCTTGGTAGAAATTCCTAATCAAGAATTCCTGATTGGCATTAACCATTCCTTTTTCTCTAATTGGAATTTCAGATCAATTCCTTTTCCGATTACCATAAACACAAATAACACACCATAACTAGCCTGTATTCAAGAGCTTAGGCGGAAAGAGTAAACTAAACAATTCCAATCACTAACAAAGATCGCAACTTTCAGCTGAGTTAGTCAAAATTGGATGCAAAGATTCCAACTTTAGTAGAATGACATGAAATTCTCAAGCCGATACGAATCATCAATCACCAAAACAGTTGAAGATCAAAAGGAAACTAAAGATAACCGAGAAAAAGCAGTCAACGGCCAAAGAGAGAGAGAGAGAGAGAGGGGGGAGAACAGATTGAATACCAGAGCGAAAGAGATCCATGGTGGAGGAAGTGGTTGAAGCGCTGGAGCCTTTCTTGGATGAAGCACGAGGCATCTGAGAGGAGAAAGAGAGTGTGATAGTGAAGAAGGAAGATGATCCTAACGAGAGAGATGCTGAAACGACGTCGCTCCAGAGGTTGGGGCCGAGGGGGATGGGGGGTGGGGGGTGGGGCTGTTTCGTGTTTTTGTACTTTTTCACCTGGGCGGTGGCCCCACAGGGCTATCGGAGGACCAGAGGCGGCGTACGGTGGTTCAGTTTCAGCAGAGGTTTGCGAATGTACAAATCCTCTAATGGGAACTTTCACACGTAATTTGTATATACAGAAGGAGAAGGATAGGTGTACGACTGGGGGTGTAAGCCACTCAAATCATTCATGAATAACTCAATTTCGTTTTTGATAAATGTTTAAACTCAATTGGGGTAGTCGGGTAGGGATGGGAATAGGTCAGGTCCCTTCGTATTTTAACTTATTTTGAAACCTATTAAATTAAACAGGCCAGCCCTGAAGGGGACAAATGCGAATACAAAATTCTATCACAGGTATGCCTCTCACCGTAAAAAGAAAAACACAATTTCTAAAATTATGAATGATGATGGGGATTGGGTGGAAGGAGATGCCATGAGAACAACTATTTTTGATTATTATTGGAATATTTTCTCGTCAAATCCATCTCAGATAGATGAAAGTTTTTATGCCAATGTCTTGCCCCGGGTGACACACACACAGAACGAAGCATTATTGCGCCCCTTTGAAAAAGATGAGGTGAGAAAGACCCTGTTTGCTATGTTTCCGGATAAGGCGCCTGGCCCAGATGGAATGAATCCGGGCTTTTATCAGCAGTTCTGGGATGTGGTGGGAGGTGATGTATCGGATTTTATTGTGAATTGTTTGAATACACGGACTTTCCCAGCCAATTTAAATGATACTGATGTGGTTCTAATACCAAAGAAGAAAAATCCAGAACGGGTCTCGGACCTAGACCTATAGCGCTAAGCAATGTGATTTATAGGGTCATGGCGAAGATGATTTCAGCCAGGATGAAGCCACTCATGGATGATATTGTTTCTGATACACAAAGTGCATTCATACCTGACAGATTGATTACAGATAATATTTTGATTGCTGCAGAGGTTGGACACTTTTTGAATAGAAAACAATGTGGAAGAATGGGATGGGGTGGTTTAAAGCTGGATATGGCAAAAGCGTATGACCGAATGGAATGGCCCTTCCTGCGAAGTATGTTAACAGCTTTGGGATTTAATAATATATGGGTGGATCTTATCATGTTGTGTGTGACTACTGTGTCTTATAATATTAAACTGGATGGAATCCGAGGATCGCCGATTGTCCCGTCTCGCGGACTCAGGCAAGGAGACCCGTTATCACCATATCTATTTATTATCTGTGCGGAGGGACTCTCTCTGTTATTACAGCAGGCACAGGTACAAGGAGCGATTCACAGGTGCAGAGTAGCAAGGGGGGCACCCTCTATTTCACACCTATTTTTTGCTGATGATAGCCTTTTATTCTTTAAAGCAAATGTGCAGGAAGCAAATGCGGTTAAGCAGTGTTTGACACGGTATGAAAATTTATCTGGCCAAGTGGTAAATTACCATAAATCCAGCATATGCTACAGTAAGAATACACAAGATGATGATAGGGATGCAGTGCCCTATGCTACAGTAAGAATACACAAGATGATGATAGGGATGCAGTGGCGCAGATACTTGGGGTTGCTCAAGCACCAAATTTTGGGAAATATTTGGGCCTCCCCTCATTCATTGGAAGGAATAAGAAGGCAGCTTTTTCGTATATTGAAGACAAGATAAGACAGAGAATCCTTTCTTGGAATAAGAAGTTGTTATCGCAAGCTGGTAAGGAAGTCTTATTGAAAAGTGTGGCTCAGGCAATGCCCACTTTCTCAATGAATGTCTTTTTACTACCTATGGGAATTTGCACAGCTATTGAGCGAGTCATGAACCGATATTGGTGGGGTCTGGGAATGAACGAGGAATTCATTGGAAGGCTTGGGACAAGTTGTGTATGCCAAAGAAGTATGGTGGCCTAGGGTTCAAAGAACTGCATGCATTTAATATAGCAATGCTGGGAAAACAGGCGTGGCGATTTTTAACGAAACCTGACTCATTGGTCTCACGAGTTTACAAAGCGAGATATTATCCAAAAGGGACCTTTTATGATGCCAAGATAGGAAATAACCCCAGTTTCTGTTGGCGCAGTATAATGGCAGCTCAGAGCATGGTTTGTGGTGGAATCAGGCGCAGAATTGGAAATGGAAAAACAACCCTAATCTGGGATCACCCATGGATGCAGGATGAATATGACCCAATGATTCATACTGATAAGCCACCATATTTAAATAATGCAGCAGTAGTGGGATTAATTGATCATGAGACACACACCTGGGATCCGGATATATTGACAGATATTTTTAATCCTGCAGATGTGGCTAGAATAAAAAAGATCCCAGTATCACCAGATTATGAGGATATGTGGTATTGGTATGATGATCAGGGAGGTAATTATACTGTTAAGAGTGGCTACAAAACAATTATGGGAAGTCTCAATGATAATATAGGCACCCATAATTGGTTGTGCCTATGGAAGTTAAAAGTCCCCCCAAATGGAAAACATTCTTATGGAAAGCTTTGAGTGGTATCCTCCCTACCACAACAAACTTAATTATAAAGAGAGTGGATGTACAACCAACATGTGCTATGTGTGGAATAATGGATGAAGACACAATGCATGCTTTAGTAACATGTGATTATGCAACATCCATTTGGGCTCGATCTCACCTTCCAATCCCCATGATAACAACAAATATTTTTCATGCTTGGTTTAGTGATCTATTGAATATTTTAGACACTAACCAAATTGTTCAGGCAGCTGCAATTTTATACCATATTTGGAGAGCCAGGAACGGAGCGGTATGGGATGCATGTCTACCGCGTCCATGAAAAGTGTTAGCCTTGGCCAAAGCCACCACACTTGCATGGCAGCGGGTCCACCACACCCATCACCAAGTGAACCACCAGGCTGCCGTGCAATGCCATATTACCGCCACTGCCGCGGCGCGGCAGCAGCAGCAACACGACACTGCCGGCGCACAGGTAACGCCCGAGGAGGCTGCCCACGAGGTGTTGCGGATGGAAACTACCGAGCCAGTACGCAAATGTTACATCGATGCCGGTTTTATGCCTGCTTCAGGAAAGGCTACGGTTGGCGCGATTTTACTCAACGAGGAAGGGGAATATGTATCGGCTTTCAGTGCACCATTACCAAATTGTCTCTCACCGCTTATGGCTGAGACAATAGCATGCAAGGAAGCCTTGTCTTGGCTATGGAATCGTGGAGAACGCTCAGTACGCTTACTTACAGATTGTTTGACCCTACAACAATATTTGACAAGTCAAGTTGTCACAATACGGACTTACGTAGGCTATGCCATTGATGCTTGTAGAGCACGCATTACTTCTTTTGATTACTGCTCAGTTAATTTTATTCCTAGATCAGAGAACTATTTAGCACATAGATTAGCATCTTCTGCATTTAATTCTTCTACAGCTATGTATTCGAACGATGTCCCTCCAGACTCTATTTCTGAGTACTTTTAATATATGCCTCATTGGCCACCTTTCAAAGAAAAACAGGTCAGCCCTATTTATACCAATCGTTATGCTGTGCATCCGTATGCACCATGCATGGTGCATACGGATGCCAAAACGACGTCGTTTTATTAAAAAACGCGCGTCTCCCTTTTAAAAAAAATTCAGGTTCGATTCCCAGCAACAACATTATATTGTTCATTCATTCTGGAATTTTAGTTCATAGATTATGGAATTATAGTTCATTGATTATGGAATTATAGTTCATCGATTATGGAATTGTAGTTCAACGATTCTGAAATTTTAGTTTATAGATTATGGAATTTTAGTTCATTCATTCTGGAATTTTTAGTTCATAGATTAGATTATGAAATTATAGTTCATCGATTATGGAATTATAGTTCATCGATTATGGAATTATAGTTCATCGATTATGGAATTTTAGTTCATATGTTGTTGCTGGGAATCGAACCTGATTTTTTTTTTTAAGGGGAGACTCGCGTTTTATTAAAACGACGTCGTTTTTGCATCCGTATGCAACATGCATGGTGCATACAGATGCACAGCATAATTTGCCTATTTATACTAAGCTCGGCTTTCAAGCCTACCGGCCTAGCTTTTTTATACACATATATATAATTTAGGGAAAATGGCACTTTTTACCCCTATGTTATATACTTATAGCACTTTTTCCCCCTCAATTATTTATGTAAGCACATTAGCCCCCTCAATTATTTTAAAAGTGGCGATTTTCCCCCCTAATATATTAAATTGACATTTCTACCCTTAAAGTAAACATTTTATTTATTTTACTTCTCCAACAAATTATTGCGTATATGTAGCGATTACCACGGTTCGGTTCGAACTGAACCAGACACTATAGCAATCGAATTAAAAGTTTTCAGTTATGATTCAGATCTAGAACCCAATATTTGGATTTCAATTTATTAAATTTAAGAATAAAAAAAAACTGGATCATGAACCGGCGGTTCCGGATCCCGTTCGCGATTTTGAACCGTCTTTATTTTAAAATTTTATTTTTTATTTTAAAATAGTTTAAATTCAACAATAAATGTATTTTATTTTTTCAGTTCGGAACATGAACCGGCCATTCCAGTTCGCGATTTTAATAAACTCTAAATATCGCGTTTTGATTATAAATTGTAATTGGAATATTTTGGTTTGGTTACTATAGTATCTGGTTTGAACCAAATTATAGTAATAATTTATTGGAGAATAAAAATAAATGAAATATTTATTTTAAGGGTAAATATGTCCATTTAACATTTCAGGGGGAAAAAGAGCCACTTAAATAATTGAGGGGGAAAAAGTGCTATAAGTATATAACATAGGGGGAAAAAGTGCCATTTTCCCTATAATTTATTTGTAATATTAAGTTAGTATATATTCTATTTTATACCTAATATATTTTTATATTTACAATATAATTTCAAGTATATATAATTATCAAACCCTAACCCTCCACCTCTAAAATCGCATTCTAAATTCCGATTCAACTATAAACATTGATGTTAATCCTATTATAAGTGTTTTTATTGTTTAATTGTTCTCACTGTTAAATATTTAATGAAGTGTCACGACTTAATTATGGGAGTCGATTGTTAACTATTTATGAGATTATATAGGATGACAATCAATAGTACAATTGAATTCATTCCTAAACAAGTTAACAAGCATGTTGAAGTTGTAACTTGTTTTATTTTATTTTATATATGTTTTAATAATATTATGTTTGCATTGTGGCGATATACTTATGTAATTGTATATTAATTTGAGTAAATATCCAAAATGATCCCTCGACTATAGCTAAATTCACAAATTAGTCCTCGACTTTTAATTTTAACCAATTAAGTCCTTAACTTTACAATTTTAACACAATTTGGTCCTTTGTCTATTTGACCGTTTGTTGACTGCGCTTTTTTAGGATATATATGTAATTTCATGGTCCATCGTCGGTTTTTTAAGGTTCCGGTTGCATTTCTAGACCGCACTGTTACATTTGAATCCACTGTCGGCGCTGCACCCCATGCCAGAGGGATTATAGCTTTTGATAGATAGATCGCCGAAGTCCTAGAGTGGCTCTTCGAGAAAGCCGTGACTCCAAGCGATGTAGGCAAGTGGAACCGGCTCGGATCCCCAGGCAGCAAGCGGAGAAGCACTTCCCCCCTCCGAAACGGCGTTGTCACCTCCAAGAGCGTTCTCTAAGCTGAATCGGCTCGTGATCCCCAAGCAGCAAGCGGAGAAGCACTTCCCCTCCTAAACAACGATGTAACCTCCAAGAGCGTTCTCTTGAGCTTTGCACAGGAAACTACATATATATCCTCAATGATCGCGGTCAACAAACGGTCAAATAGATGGAGGACCAAATCGTGTCAAAATTGCAAAGTTAAGGACTTAATTGGTTGAAATTGAAAGTCGATGACCAATTTGTGAATTTAGCTATAGTCGAGGGACCATTTTGGGTATTTACTCTATTAATTTTGTAGAGTTAATTCCACCAGAGGTTCATTGTCTATATGATCATAAATCTAAATCTCAATGTACATAAAGGCCCTGTTTGGCAAATAGCGGTTAGCGGTAGCGAATTGTATTAGCGGTTAACAAATAACGGATTATGTTAGTGGGTTTGACCAACAGATTGTATCAGCGGTTTGTAAAAAAATATTTGGTAAAATTAGCGGTTAATATGTAAAATGACCAAAAGGGTATACATATTATAATAATAATAATAATAATAATAATAATAATAATAATAATAATAATAATAATAATAATAATAATAATAACAAAAAAAAGATGTGGAATTTAATCCCACATCAAAAGTTAAAAAGGGAGCTCAACGCCCCTTCAGTTTAATTCAACTCTTGCCCATCCCACATCGGATGGGCAAGAGTTTAGAAGCTTGAGGCTTCTTTATTTTATTTTTAATAATTGGAGGGTGTTTTGGGGAAGGAATTTTCCTTCCCCAAAATGCCAACGCAACACGCTGCTAAATGCAGCGTGTTGAACTTCAACGGTTTTGAGCAATCTACTGCTCCAAACTGATGTTTACCAAATAATGACTTTGGTGTTTTGACCATCCGTTTTGACCATGGTCAAAACTCTAAAGTAGGTGGATTCGCTAAAATTTTGACGGATCTGTCAATAATCAAACACAAATTGTATGCATGTATACTATATCTATTTCAATTTACTCTGTAATAGATTCATAATGTTCCTTTTATATATTTATAAAAAGAAAACTTAATTTACATAAACATTAAACTACATATGTATCATGTTTAATGACATTCATCATGTACTACGTTCATAATATTTGTTCTAGATGATCATAAATCAAAACCTTAAGAGCAAATACCAATTTTAGTCCCGAGTATTAGCAAAATGACAATTTTGGTCCACATGTTTAATTCCTACCAAAACTCATCCCACAACTATTGTTTTACTACCAAAGTTAATCACTTCGGTTACCGGAAAAATTAAAACACGCCGGATTCTTTAAAAAATAAAGGTATTTTTATCCTTTTATCATTAAAATCAAAGTATTTACTAAATTTCCATTAAAATTAATAGCTTGATCTGCCAGACTGCCAATGCATTTCGCCATTTTAATTTGTAAAAAAAAAAAACAAAAAAACAAATTATACAGAAAACAATTTTAGAATTCAGCCTAAAGATTTCAGTCGTGGCAACAGTTCTTCTTGTAGCTTTTATTTGGTCCTAACACTCTTCCTGGAGGCTCTCCCACCACCACTCTTGCCTCTCTTCCGTTTCTGTTTACCATGCCCTCTCAAAGCAGAAAAGCTAACCTGATAATCAAGATTGCCAACAACTTAACAAATGATGAACTATATACATTCAATTGAATTTTAAAGAATGAAATACACTATTTGCAATTAACAGGACAATCTAATGTCCCAGTTTAAGAACATTAAGCTCACAAAATAACCCGGCGTGTTTAGTTTTTTCCGCGACCGGAGTGATTAACTTTGGTAGTAAAATAATAGTTGTGGGATGAGTTTTGGTAGGAATTAAATATGTGGACTAAAATTGTCATTTTGTTAATATTCGTGGGACTAAAATTGGTATTTGCTCAAACCTTAATGTATATAAACACTAAACTATAGGTAAGAAAAAATATATTTCCATTAACTCTATAATAGGTTCAGAATGTTCATTCTATATGTTTATAAAAACAAAGTTTACTGTACTATACATAAGGATTACACTAAAGTATAATTTTATGTACTTATATATTTCAAAAAAATGTACTTATAGATTTATTTTTATTTTTAAAAAAATATCAAAATGGGTGTCATTTAAAACATATCAATTAGATCTTTTTAATGTTGTTTTTTATTTATTAATTTTATTGGTACAAAAAGAAAAAAAATATGTTGAAAAAAAAAATGACAAAAAACAGGACTTCCTCATGTTGCTCCATGCACCATGGTTCATAATATAACTATTGAACTAGAACGAACTAAAGAATTGAAAAAAAAAAAGAATTAAAAAATTTTGGGAGCTATGGGGAGTATGGGCTAGGAGCGCTCAGATTTTTGTTGTTTGGGTTGTCCCGTCCTTAATCGAACGAATTAAATAATTTTTTTTTAAAATATTTAGAACTTTTTTTTAAAAAAATTGAGCTTTGATCCAGACCGAATGTTTGACCTAGCTCATCATAACTAAATTTTAACTAGGCCAACTTGGTCCAATTCAAATAGTAACTGGGTAGAATGAGGACTAGTCTGCTCGATACTAATAAAAAAGAGGGAAATAGAAAAAAACATAGCGTGAGGAAGAAATGTCTTCTGAGTAAAAATCTCAAAAGATACTTCTATTAAAATGAGTTTTTTTTTTTTTTTTTTTTTTAACTAGAGTAAGTCTTTTCTTTTTTACTTCATTTTCTGTGAATAGTCAAACACTAAAATTCATAAAATAACTTCATGAAGTCATTTTGAGTTTCCAAATAGACTATTGAATGACAA